AACACAAATTTTTTGGGATTGCAAAATAATGTACTAAAACATAAAAAGTAATCAGTTCAAATCTGAAACAAATATAAATATTGTAATCAATTCTTATAAATACCATTTACTAACATAATTTTCCAAGATATTATACATCATAATGCAAAAAAACTAAACTTATCAGAAGTAACAGGCTTTATGTTTCTTAAACTACACACATTTATTAAAGTCATTACAAAGTTTTAAAACTTTTTAACCACTAGTTTTACTGTTGGAATGACAAAAAGCAAGACTTGCATTGGCTACTGAGAAAGTTAGTAGCCGGTAGTCAACGGGTTAAAGAGTGTACACTATTAGTCTTCCAACCACACTATTTTTGCCACACATCCATTGATGATGATATGTTTCACTCAACCCAAAATGTGTTTGTTGTATCCCAGCAAAAGGATCTTTGCTCTAGAATTTTCATAATCCAACTAGTGTACAAGGACAATGGTTATCCAGCACCTGTTGTACATAAATCCATAATAGCCTTTTCCTGCAACTTGATCAGTACATCTTCTTACAGAATATCATTAATACTCATTTCATACTCTAGCTGCTTTAAGTATGCAACACCTGAATGGATTTGTTATACATGTGAGTTTTGTTGCTTTTTCAGAGGGAAAAATATCTTCATTATGTCGCCTCCTGCTGCCTAGGGCACATGGATGGCTTTTACCACTGATCTTTGTGTTCATAAATTCTCACTTGCTATAAAATGCTATACTAAGCTGTTGATCCATATTCCTTTGTCCTCCAATGTATTAAATATGAGGGCTATTCTCATCTTGTAAATTAGGAATCCCTGATCTAAACACATCTTTATGATCTGAGTGTGTGAATAGCTTGTGACAAAAAAGAGCCATTACATACCATTCTCAAACGACATAAATTTTTGGTAGCATCACACAACCTACAAAATATTAAACAATGTCAAAATGTAGCTCTAATACACACAGTTTCCATGGGACTTCACATCAGTTGTGGTTTTCACATGACATACTGATTTGCATATCCAAAACTATTTTAACATAAGGTACCCAACCATTCATAGCATATTGACATGTAGTAAGATACAGAAAATAAAAATGTCCTCTTTATAAATAGTATTAAATTTACAACTTGTGAAACTGCCAGTCTCAAATGACTTAGTCTGCTTCTCTAATATGATGTTTTTTGAAGCAAGTATATAAAAAATACATTAAGACTACCCAAAAAAATTATTTTCTATTTAGATCTGCATCTAAATGTGTTGGCAGACATTAAATCTTAAAGAGGAAATTTATTATTATTACATTTTATATCAAACTTTGCAGAGTAGTTATCAGATTAGTAAAAATATTCAATGATAATTCATTACCTGTGAAAATAAAATGAATGTGGTAGAACTTCAGAAACTTTCTTGCTAATCATTTGATAATCATCTTGGCTCCAGACCTGTTACAAATACATAGCTCTAAAAATTTGTTCAACTACATGTATGTGTATTATACCTATGAAATGGGCAAATTTATTAATCTTTAAATGCTAGTCAGACATTACTGACTAAATGTTTTGAATGACAAGCACTGTGAATGGAAGTTAAAAAAAAGAAGAAAATTGTGAACATTTAATATATATATACATGTATAGACTGTGTTACATACACTGTATTCACAAAAATGTTTATACAGAACAAGGCTCTCCTATTTCTAATATATATTTTGCCAAAACATGTAGCAAAATATTTGCTTTTGCAATAATAAATAATTGTGGTTTAAATGGCAAATTACTTTTATTAATCAAATACCACAAGATTTATCTGTAAAGCAATTACTATAAAGTGTTACTGCAAATTATATGAGCAGTTTTATTACAGACATTGTTGGTTTACATATTATTCCTGGGCTCTTACCAGGTCAGTTTACAGAAGTGATCACTTACCAAGAGCAAACAAGTGCCTTACTTTAATGAATTACTACACAGCAAATAAAATCAAGTACTAGTTGTCTGTAATATATTATTAAACAACAAAAAATTACTTAAGATACCATCTTTGTCTCAATAGACGATTATTATGCTGACAGTTTTTTAATCTTCAAAACAGATACACAAATTATCAATCAGTATGGTTTATTCCTGAATGTTTTAATATGTCTTCTGGTGTGTAGTATATATTTACAAACTTAACATTTTCCTAACCAGAAAATGTATTTCCATGGATACTCCTCTTCACACAGTTTAGGTATCTTCCACAACTCTTCTGCACACTCTGCCAAAAAAGCCTTATGAAAATGTATTTCCATGGATACTCCTCTTCACACAGTTTAGGTATCTTCCACAACTCTTCTGCACACTCTGCCAAAAAAGCCTTATGAAAACTCCCACTTAATTTCATGTAAATTTGAGCCAATGCATGATGATGTCATCAAGTGGCAAAAGCCCTCCATCAATAGGGGGTGACACCCCAATGCATACTAATTATCCCTATGCACTTACACTCGTGAATCTTCATTCTTTGATGAGGCAAGTGAGAAAATGTGCATTAGAAATGGGGAAAATGGCTGGGAATGTGTGATGAGGTGGGTATTTATTGGAAAAACATTTTCAGGTAAAGAAAACTTTAACTTCCAAAACAAATACCTCCACATACAGTTTAACTAGAATCCTACATTGAGATGGTAGAGAGACTAGTGCAAAGATTATCTAGATGAGTCCTCTTCAAAAAGTATCCAAAATAAGCTCATGGAGTGTGACACCCAATGACAAAGGCTCCATAGGAGCATACTCATGGGAGATCACATTTCAGCTAATCCAAATTATAATCTTTTTCTCACAAGAAGAAGAAAGGCAAATAATCCAATTTTGTGTGGCAAAATTGGTACACGGCTGTTCAAGTACTCACACACAAGATATCAGACAATTTAATATGTGTAATGAGATTGGGGTTCATTCAGACCATACCTTATGTACCTACCTCCACTACCACCAGACTCAACAGGTCAAAACCAGCTGTGTGAAAAGGGCACCATATTATTATTTTTTAATTCCTTGGCACTTGTGTAATGTTTAATATTAAAAAACTCACAATTTTTTAAAAACTATGAAAAACTGGAAAACAGTCTCATACACTCCACATGTTTCAATGTATATCACTGAGTCATCTTCAGGAGTGTAAAGTTTTGCAAAAAATATCACATATATTTAATTCAATTAGTATGAACATACGTGAATCCATTGAGACAATTAAATGTAAAAAAAGTAAATTTAAATTATTGAATAAGGATGATGGACCTGATGGAAATGTTATCAGTAGATGCTGGGAAATTCTTTAATATGTAGATTAGTGATCTGGTAATTGTATATACAAGTGTTATTTTTTGCAAAAATTACACACCTGAGGATAACACAATGTCGAAACATGTGGAGTGTATGAGACTGTTTTCCAGTCTCATCGGATTTTTACTACTTTTTATCCTATACAGTAAGTTATTTGTATTTTATTGTCATTTTTGAGAGTGGGAACAACCTCATTTTTAGAATTGTGTATAAAATAATCATGGTTTTTAGAAAATTGTAAGTTTTTTTTTACCACATTATTTTGTTACTGTATAGATACAGTTATACACATCTACTTGACCATCAGTCTCTATGTGCTCCTAAGCCAGCTGCAGAAGTAGAATATGTTTGTAACATAGTAGGGACCAGTAATAGTGTTCACCTTTACTCTACAGAACAGACACTGGCTGCAGGAGGACTTGTAAGATATAGGTACTGAATGGATTGGTATAGTGAGTTGTATCACTGATTCATATGTAGTTAGTGAAGTGGGATTATCATTGATACATATGTGGGTTGACCTCACTAAACTTTCAGTGTCACCACAGACTCACTTCTCACTGCAATGGGACCCCTTATTCTAGCCCCAGCAGTTAGGTCCTAGTTGGTGAGAAATCTTCAAAGTCCACCACCTAAGCAGCTAGAAACTGGTGAGTGGCAAGGGTCTCCCATACTCCACTAAAAAAAACATGGAAAATTCACATATGAGAGACTAAAGGAATTTGCCAGGATCTCATTGGTCCATCAGCCTGGAAAGGTCTTTTTACTGGAAACAGTACAATGGATGATCACAAAAACTATTTTTAAAAGTGAGCAAGTGCAAGCTAAAGAAGTGGGCAGAAACACTGGTCTGATGATGGGTTTTTTTTCCATAATAGTACACAGAATAGGTATGGTCTAGATAGCAAGAAATGTGATAGATAGATAGATACAATGAGAAAGTAGTCTTACCAAACATCTGATCTCACAGTGGATACATGTAGAGCCAGGACAGATAGTATGAGCACTTTCCATTATCTGACTCAATGCAGATTTTGGGTAAGTATACCTTGAGAAACAAAACTAGCAGCCTAGTAAGGCCTACTGAATGAAATAGGGGTCCTGCTGACATCTTGTGGAAGATGAAAACCATCAATAGATAAAACAGCCTAAAGCTATAGAGATGGAGTTGAAGAGAGTCCGCATGCCTACCTGGAAAAGTTCATCCAATGGTCGGCAAAGAGAATGAATAGCCTGACAAATAGAATGTGAGCATCAACATCCCAAGACAACCATGTCAATGGAGGAGTCAATGGGCCCATCCTGGAAAGGAAGAAGTAACAGGGTTCATGGAAAATAGGTGTCCCAAGATATGGTAAGAAAAAGACAGGGACCCTTAAAGTAAGAGGTCCATGATAAGGGACACAGAAATGCCCAACAAGACACAGGAGCCAAGTCAGTTCCAGATGGCCCAGTAGTACAGAGATGGAAGGAAGGGAGATAGGAGAGAAGTATGGTTTACCCCCGAGTAGTTAAGTCCAAGGAAGA